CTGTCAAGGAACGCTATGGACAGAGGAAACATGGAGGAGGAGGAGAGTTTAGTGTCGGAGGTCGTGGATGAGTCTCCTACGTCATCCATTTTTTATTTAGAGGAGGAAAGTGGGGATGAAGATGTTGTGGAAGAGGACGACAGGGCGGCAGAAGCTTGGTTTGGTGTAGAAGGCTTCCAGCCGTACATGTTTGAGCCCTTGCCTCGCAACGCTGCCAGTTCTGTTATCTCTACGCCTGCTGAAGACAAAGACGTATATCCCCGTGAACACTGAGACGGAACTCAGTGGTAAAATAAAAGATTCTTATTTTAACCGTTGCCTATATTAGCTGCGACACATGAATCAAGATGCTATGACCGAAAAAAGTTGACAGATGACCGTTGATATATGATTGGCCAAATTTAGGTGTTCAAGCTGATGTATAACTAACTGGCCTGCACAAAATAATGAAAAAAAAAAAAAAAGAGAGATTTTAAGACAGGATTTATTTTTATTTTTTATAATTTTGGGACAATATTGTCTGATAAAGAGTAATATACATGTTTAAGCCAGAATGATTTGACATTTAAATATGATTTCCCTATGACTTTAAAGCATCAGAGTTTCACAAAGGATAACCTGGTTTCCAAGATGTTCTCATTGTTTCAGCTAACCTCTGGATCCAGAACAAAATGTCAAGTTGACCATTACGACCATCTGACGACCAAACAGTCCTGGTTCTGAGCACCGGTTCTCTGGACCAGTTCTCATATATAAAAACCAGGATCTAACGTTATTAGATGGTCCAGACCAAACCACCAGGGGTTCTTATAGTCTCATGCTGGACTCCACGATGTTCAGTGCGTCAGTGTGGTGTATGGGTTTCCTATGAAGGCCCAACAGAACCTCAACATTTTACCTTATACTCCTGAAGCAGTCTCCTGACGGCATCCTCGTCAGTTAGGTCACACCTCAGGAAGCGGGGCCGGGCTCTCCGGAATCCGGTCCCAGTCACCACCCAGCCATGGCTCTGAAACTCTCTGCAGACGGCCCGGCCCAGGAGGCCGGTCGCACCTGTAACCAGGACCTTTGGGCCCTGAGCCAGAACTTCATCCTGAGGACAATCGGACAGTACTGTGATCAAAGACCCCAATTAAAGTACAAGAGAAACTTTCCAGACATTAGCATCCTAAAGAAAAAGGAGGCAGCCATGGAAACACTGGGTTTGGCCCCGCTGGAGGAGCCAAACTGAGAAGGGCATGTCCCATGTGAGAGGATCTCCAATATCAGCAGAACCACTTGGAACCAGAGCCACACTAGGGCCTGTTACAGATTATGGGTCCACAATCAGCCACAAGCCCCCCATATTGGAGCATTTCATCTTTTTAACAGCAGGACTGGATCTTTGAGATAATGAGCTATACACACCTTCAGAACATGCAGCGGGGAACCAGAACCAGAGATCCAATAACTCAGCAGTGCAGTGACTGAGCTATGTGCTTGTTTAACGCCACTCTGAGTGGCGTTCCAAAGATGTAAAATAAAATACCGCCAATACACCAGAAATTTGCATAAATCAAGTTAATTTGAATGTTTCGGCTGCTGTTATCAACGCCTCACATGTAGCCTATGAACTAAGAAATGTGTTTGGAATATTAGGATAAATTACATGTAAAGCTGGGCTTACACTGTGCGATATTTTGCCCTTTTCGGGGTGACTTTCCAGTCGTGTGAGAATTTTTCGATTGGGCTAATTTTCAGCCTGATCGTACATCATGTAGTGAACAGGGGATAATGAGGGGTGATCAGCCTCTCACGAGCACCTAACGATCAGGAATTGTGAGGTCGGGAGAAAATCAAACATGGTTGATTTTCAGTCGGCCGTCATCCACCAATAATTTTGGGGAGGTGCACCAGATTGTCTGCGAAAGGGAGGGGGGCATATCTACGTTAACTGCGCAGACGACCTAGTTTCTGAGCATAAACCAGGCTTTAGGCTGCAGGCAGGTTCTCCAGAGTCCTGCTGTTGGAGCAGAGACACGTCTAAAAGGTGGAGGACAGAGGAAGCCTTTAACAGGAGAAACATGATGGTGCTGATAAAGGTCTGGGTCTGTTACTGCCCCCCATTTGGAGGGAGAGGAGAAGAAGACTGCAGCATGTGGTTTGAGTGTTGGACTGATTGTCATGTAGGAACCAAAGACTAAAAGTTCTGCAGTCCAGATTTAGAACCCATTAGAACATGTTGGGTCGCACCTTTTTACTTCAACCCCCATAAGGATAGCGCCGCCTTATTTAAGTTTCCTAAGGCTCCTGGGAACAATTTTCGGCACTGGCACTTTTCCATCTAAATCGCCTGGATATATGAAATCTCGCTCAATTTGAACCAAAGTGTATTGATTTCTTACGCCATAAATCTGAAGAAAAACATTTTTTACCCATAGACAGCCATCCTAAACTGCGAGATTGGGGAACATTCCAACCTGGCAACAATGCACGCAAGACAGGAAACGTTAGCCTTTAGATGAAAAACGCTTTCAAGCACTGCAAAATATTTTAGCAAAATATTCTAAAATAAATTTGCCAAATATAAGAGGATCATCGTAGTCAGGTTTAGAGCATTTTAGTTTTATTATAATTTAGTTTGTTGAAAGGATGTTACAGTTTGAAGAAATAGAAAATTACACCATATGCCGTCCGTCACAAGGATGTGCACGACAAGGGAGGGTTATATATATACTGCATGCATCATCTATGTAGTTAACATCTTGAGCTCCTTGAGTTTTTACTGTCACAGGTAGGAGCTTCGGCCGAAGAGTATGTGCATGCAGAAATTAGAATGTGCATGCAGAAATTAGGATGTGCATGCTGAAATTAGGATGTGCATGCTGAAATTAGGATGTGCATGCTGAAATTAGGATGTGCATGCTGAAATTAGGATGTGCATGCAGAAATTAGGACCGGTCAACCGGGCATTTGGTATCACAGGCTTTCCAAGTCCAGCTGGAGCAGTCCACAGCTCTGCATCCCAGCTGAGAGGAAGCTGAGGAAAGAGAATTTTTAAAGGTGTGCAGGAATAAACTGGAGGCTTTGTGGATTTTAATCCATCTCTGTGTCTCTGTAGGCTGGGAAGTTTATTCTTTCCTCTCCTGTCTAGGATGAACTGCAGATATCCAAGCAGGGAGAAATGTTTGGCCTCCTGCTGCAGCCTGGGCAGATTTCCAGCTGGATCTGGTACTGGTTGGGTTCTGGAAGCCCCTACCTGTGAGTTTAAACCTGACCGGTTCTGCCTGTCCCGACCTGCAGTCTCCATGGAGACGGACCTCCCACCTGTTCTGCACCTGTTCTCCACCTGTTCCAACCTGCTCACCGCACCTTCAGGCCCCCCCACCTGTTTTCAGGTGGAAACTGTTTCCTACGCGAGCCCCGGGCTAAATACCAACCTGTGATCTGCGCATGCTCAGCTCGGTCCACAACCCGGTATCGGTTCTGGTTTCGGTGACCGATCTTCTCTTATCCAAACGCCTGCTCCTTCACTTCCGGTCAGATAAGCAGCACTAGTTACAAGCCGTTTGCAAGCGCAAACCGGAAGTAGACTAAAGTCATCGATCCGAACTCTGATCCGGGTCCAATGCAACTCTAGCCTCCAGAACTTTCTCCTACAATCTGATTTTACGGCCAAACAGCTGGTGCCAGAACTCTGAAGAACCGAACTCTTACCTGCAGACCTGAGAACTGGAAACCAGGCATCTGACCGCCCACAAACCCAGGGAAGCCTGCAGAACCAGAAGAGAGCAGCACCTGAGAGTGAGAAGCTGCACCAGCCCGGATTCTTCTTCTTCTCTCCTTTGTTTGGCGGATTGTAAACAGCTTATAGATGCTTACCGCCACCTACTGTACCAGAGTGTGTAGCCTTCGCATGCATAGACGTACATATAAGCATAGGGCCAATTATATACGTAGACGCCTCATTAGGTGCTGGCTGACGTGCCTAGAGGAGCCGCCATCTTGGATCGGACCACAGTTCAGACAGCTGCAGTCAGATTGAATAGGAGGCGCTTTAGAGCTCATTTTAATCACAGAAAATTACATGTCACAACCACTTAACCCTTTATAGGGCAAAAAATAGGTTTATAGTTTTTATATATTTATAAACTAAAAATGCAAGTGCCAGTATCAGCATTAATGCCTATAGGTTATGTTGTATAAAAAAAATGTGTTTCTTTCACTCTCAGAGTGTTTTTCAGGAATTTCTTAGAGTTATATATTATTATATACTTTTGCTATTTTTCGTAATATATTCGGGCAAGTTTCGTTTCTTGTTATTTCATTGATATTAATGTTTTCCATCAAAAATATCCATATTTTTTTAATGTTAAAGGTAATAAGGTCTTGTCCTGGATGCCAATAACACTACTGGCTTGAAATTTTGATTTTCAAGACATTTCACTGAATGCTCTGTAAAGTGTTAAAAGACCAAAACAAATTCTAAAATTACCTTTAGATTAAACACATTCCAATTAAAAACTATTTAAACTGAATTCAAACTGGATGAGATATATGCAAAGTTATATATTTTGCAATTAAATATTAATATGATAAACGCAGCTTTATATTATAAGATTATATTTTTCAAATTTTATATATCTATATTGTATATTATTATTATTATTCAGTATTTTGAAGAAATGCTCTTTGATAATTAGTATTATGATCTATAGAGAAAAATTCTGTTGTAATGTAATTAAAAAAAAACTTGTGAGTGTTAGTGTATATATATATATATATATATATATATATATATATATATGTATATATATATACACATAGATGTTTTAATGTCTTGACGACATAAAAAGTCCACAAACTGTAGTTAAAAGCCTTCTGCTGATCCAAAATTCTGCAGCCAGAGTTCTGATGAAAATTAAAAAGAGAGATCATATCTCTCCTATCCTGGCTTCTCTTCATTGGCTTCCTGTTCAATCCAGAATAGAATTAAAAATCCTCCTCCTCACAAATAGACTTAAATGGCCAAGCTCAATCTTATATCAGAGATCTGATTGTTACTTATGTTCAGCAGAGCACTTCGTTCTCAATCTCAGTCAGGTTTACTAGTGGTTCCTAGAATGGGCGGCAGATCTTTTAGTTATCAGGCTCCTCTCCTGTCGAACCAACTACCAGTTTTAGTCCGTGAGGCAGACACCCTGTCTACTTTTAAGACTAGGCTTAAAACTTTCCTTTTTTGATAAAAGCTTATAGTTAGAGTGGCTCAAGTTATCCTGAGCTATCTCTATAGTTATGCTGCTGTAGGCTTAGATTGCTGGAGGACATAGGGACCCCCATTTCATCATTCTGCTTCATTCTATCTCTATTCTCCCACAATGCAGAATCTGTTAGTTCTATCTCTAACTCTATCTCATATCGTACTATAGCCCATCACTTTGCCATCAAAGACACTTACAGAGCCAACTCAAGTGAGTAGTTCACCAGATTAATGGGACCTTTCTAACCTATTCAGAAACTATGTGTANATGGGACCTTTCTAACCTATTCAGAAATTATGTGTATGTTTTATATTTGACCAATTCTGGAGACACAATTCGTGACAGTTCTTAAGAAATGAGAATTTCACCAGAAACATGGTTGAACTGGTTTTATTAAAAACTTAAACACTTTACAACACGTTCTAAAACTAAAGGTGAAGACAGGGTGTAGCCACTTCAGATAGGAATTGCTTAGGTATGAGGATTAATCATTTAAGTTTTCATAAATCAGTCCAGCTGCATTTAATTAGTACTTTTATCCATAGATAAAAACCTTCTGATAATTGATCAGTCATCTGGAACAAACCTTACAAGTTATTCTGATCTCATTAAAGCGGATGGACACTTCCTGCTGCGCTGATTGGTTCATCCCGATGACATCACTGTCACACCTTTGTGCTTGGCAGTGGGATGTCACCCAGTTCCTCCACTTCTCCTTCCTCCTCCTCTTCAGGAGGCAGAGCTTCATCAGACACCCTGAAACCCCTGAAAGTTGGGCAGATGGGAAACCAGCGGAGCCAGCGAGTTCGTCTAACCAAACCCATCCCTACAGGAAAATTGTAAGTGGAGGAACCTGGGGAGGTTGAGTCGCCTGAGGAGCTCCACTGGGCAAGTCCTCGTTCCTCCCTCGTACCTGAACACAAGAAGAAGATTTAGAAAGCACTTTAAGAAATGACATCACTTCAGTGCTTTTATAACACCCGTCTATCATTCAAACAAAGAAATCTAATCCAAAGCATTTACCACTGCAATTCACACTTTATTAAAAATAAAAAAATCAAATGGTGAAATATCTCACATTTCTGTGAACATTTCTTTGTAAAATACATTTAATTCATCATTTAAAGTAAAACAACAAACTCTGCAGCATTAAAAGTAGACCGCTGCAGATGCTGCAGGATCCTTAGAAACGTTCACGCTTTAGGGCAGGAATCCCCAAAGTCAGTCCTCAAGGGCCGCTGTCCTGCTTGTTTTAGAGGTTTCTCCGTTCAAGCACAGCTGATTTATATTGATAGTTGATTAACAGGCTTTTGCTGAACTGCAATCATCAGAATCAGCTGTGCTAAAGCAGAAAAACCTCTAAAACCTGCAGGACAGCGGCCCTCAAGGACCAACTTTGAGGATGCCTGCTTTAGGGTAAAGAGCCAGAAACCAACACACTGCCAAGATAAAGATGGAGTTCAAAATATTGATTTGAAAGCTAAAGAGTAAATGTTGAAATATCCAGCTTAATATGGTTTAAGGCTGATTTATGCTCAGAAACCAGGTCGTCTGCATGTGTGTTGCAGTGAATGCAAATATACCCCCGCCCCTGCTGCAGACACTCTAGTGCGCACCTTCACAATTGACAATTGATCAAATCTACATATGCTCTACGCTATGCGTATTTCCTGTTTGGTACCTTACCACCTTGCTTTGTTTGCCATTGTGGAAAACAACTCGTGAAGATGAACCAGCTAGAAGAGCGAGGTGCAAAGAATGCTGGGACCCTTTTTCCACCTGGATCCCCGCTCTTTTTCGCCCTCCTGTATCTCCGTTGTCGCACAAACTTGCCCCCACTTCCTCGCCGCCTCTGCTGTAGCTAGACCCAAAGCTAGTTCATGATTGTCCCTCTTGCATTGTAGCGTGAAATAACCAGAGGTGTCATGTAACGAAGTACAAATACTTTGTTACTGTACTTAAGTACACTTTTTAGGTATCTGTATTTTTCTCTATCACTTATTTTTCTTCCTACTTCTGACTTCTACTCATTACATTTTCATACAACTATCTGTACTTTATATTCCTTACATTTTTAAAACAAACGTTACTCGTTACTCTTGGCTTCAGTTTAATGTTTATAAATATTTATTTCCCGTCATGTGTGCCATCCAGTGCAGATCATTGGCTCCATCCACATCTAGTGAAAACTAGTGTAATTGGATGAGTCATATAACGCAAACACTCATTGGTTAGCTAAAGGAAATCATCAGAAGCAAGCAGGTGTTCTTCAAACTGGAAACATGAATCGTCTATGCCATGCTACAATGTGGGATTCAGAAAAAGATGTTGAAATGTCTGAAAGGTCGGACACAGGCGAGAGCTAATCGAGAGATGGACAAGACAACAAGACCTCCCTCATCCTTGGCCCTATCTCAAATAATTTTTCTAAATAGTCGGAAAATGTAGCTTTCAATTCATATAGTGGCATCTGGCTGTTTTTTTTAAAGGTTGCTTTATACTTTTATACTTTAAGTAGTTTTTAGAGCACATACATTTGCACTTTTACTTAAGTAAAGAGGTCAAGTTGATACTTCAACTTTCACCAGTGTTTTTAAACTGCAGTATCTATACTTCTACTTAAGTAACAAATGTGTGTACTTTAGACACCACTGGGAATAACATAGAGCAGGCCACACAAAAACGGAGACGATGGTCTGGACCAGGATAAAAACAGTCAAAGCCAAGGAAAGTAGCAGGGGTGAAAGCCCAGCTCCAACCGGACAGGCTGCTTTTCACAGAGAAGGGGAACTGAACTCCACGTTCAAACAGTTTGAGGTCCGTAGACCGTTCACAGTGATGGTCACTCAGGGAAAGAGTTTTCAGAATCCGTTGGGCTTAATCAGGGTTAGAGGTTAGGCAAGGTTAAGCAACCGCTCAGAAAAAACTTCGGTAAGGTCTGGGTAAAGCCAGTGGTCAGAGGCTGCCGTTAAAGGGGTTTTTATGTGACAAAGCACCACCAGTGTCACTGGGTCTGAGCGGCCCGACAGAGAAATTATATTTGAAGGCAGGATAATAATCTTGATGAACTGAGTGCACAGATGAAGTTTTCAGGTGGACTTTCTCACTTAGAAAAAAATTTAAAACTACTTTTTTAGCCACTGATCACAGCAAATATAGCAAAGCCACTCTATGGCACTGAACACAGGAGCAGCAGAAGGATCAGACGCATCTGGACACATTTTTCTGGACGCGCTTCAGGAATATCAAAGATGCACTTCAGGGGCGTCTGATTTTAATGTGAACAAGCATCAAAAACGAAGCAGCAGAATGCTTTTGCTGCTTTCAGCGCTTGCAGTCTGAAAGTAGCATTACTTTAAAAACACAGTCAGTCGGG